AAAGCATCGTGAACGGGACGCGTGCCTCTAACCCGGCGTGTTGCCTTCAGGTGTCTCGGGAAAGCATCGTGAAAGGGACGCGTGCCTCTAACCCGACGTGTTGCCTTCAGGTGTCTCGGGAAAGCATCGTGAACGGGACGCGTGCCTCTAACCCGACGTGTTGCCTTCAGGTGTCTCGGGAAAGCATCGTGAACGGGACGCGTGCCTCTAACCCGGCGTGTTGCCTTCAGGTGTCTCGGGAAAGCATCGTGAACGGGACGCGTGCCTCTAACCCGGCGTGTTGCCTTCAGGTGTCTCAGGAAAGCATCGTGAACAGGATGTGTGCCTCTAACCCGGCGTGTTGCCTTCAGGTGTCTCAGGAAAGCATCGTGAACAGGATGTGTGCCTCTAACCTGGCGTGCGTCTTTGGGGTGAACCTGGTGTGGCCTCGCCGCGGCTCCCTCTCGCTCTCCGCTCTGACTCCCATCAACATCTTCGCTGAGATCCTCATCGAACACTTCGCTGCCGTATTCAGCTCCCGCTGCGCACCTGCTCAGGTAACCCCCTGACCTCTGCAGGTGACCCCACATCACAAAGGTCAAAGGTCAAAGGGACAGTATTTCTGAACAGCTGACGTTCTTGTAATGTTTGTTGTTTTTCTTTAGCTGCCTCGAATTTATTTTAACTTTGTTCTTTTTAACGATTAAAACATTTTATTGTTTGTGAACGTTGCAAAACTTGTTTTTACTTTACTAGAATCTATTTAAAGTATTTAAAGAGTCAAAAATTTAGGTTTATATAAAAATGACAGGTTTTATTTTAGCTTTTAGTTTCACTGAACGACTCGATGCCATATATAAACATTAAAACCTGTTTGCGTGAAGAATGTACAAATTATTCTTTAAAATTCAGATTTATGTTTTCATGATCAAAGATCAATAAATGTAACAAAATGTAAAACATCCTTTGGTTCAGGAGCAAATCAATGATCAAACTCCACTCGTTTCGTTTCTTGATTTTTGTTTATTAATGATTCCGTTGTTTTGTAAGAACTCGGTACAAAAAGTGGAACTACTCTTTAATCCACCGCCCATTGATCATCGATCGAATGCATCAGAAAGAAGAAAAAACTACGTTGGCATATTTAAGACAAACACTTTCCTATAAACAACTACCCACTTCCTGTTTTCAACCACAGACAGGAAGTTCTTCGTCCGCACGCCGCCGCCTCCTGACCGACAGTTCGAGTCCGAACGTTTGTCCTCGGTAAAGAATATAAAATGTTTGTTCGTGTCGTGTAGTAAAATAGATCTGTTCAGGCGCTGCACAGTTTCTCCCGGAGGTTTGTTCTCGGACGACGAAGGGGACTTTCTCTTTGATCTCCAAAAAAAAACAAGTGACGGAGCGCTGATATGGGGGGAGGGATATGCAGCACATGGCACACTTCCTGTCACCAAAATAAAAGCCCTCAGGTCTGATGATGGTTTTACTCTTCGTCGTGGAGACGCTCGGCCGAGACGTGAAAAGATAAACGCACCGGACGAATGTTCGGGTTTGGCAACAGAAAGAACCAAATGTGGAGCTGGTCTGAGCACCTTCTCTCTTTCAGAATGTTCCTCGGGTTCTACGATATGAAGGAGGTTCTGAACGGGTCCAACGGTTCTGGACAGCAGAACAAAAGCAGCAGAGACGGAATGAACCGTCTAAAATCCATCAATCAAAATATTTAATTATGGCCCTTTGGGCTTTCCGTACTTTCACAGCTGATTTGGACACAATTCTTGCTTTGCATTAATGTGGACAGCTTTAGATGATGTCATCATTCTGCGACGTGAATGAGAGGATTAGTTTGTGAGGCTGTGCGACGTTTGAGTCAAGAACACAAAGTTTGAACTCCTCGTGTCTCCGACATTCGCTCTTCACAGGAAACATTTTGTGTTTGAATCTTTGTCCCGTTAAACGGAGCCGCATTGGTTACACCCCGGAGAACGCTCCGCACCAACAGCTGATCTGACTCGTTTGCTTTAGTCTGAAGGAACTCAACATGAGCTTCAGTAGCAAGTGGAAGAACCATACACAGCCACGGCAGCCTGGCTCCTCCTCAGTCTCACTGCTGCGGTTGTGTTGGTTTTCTAACGAACAGAACCCGAGGCCGGTCCCTGAGCCGTTCAGTGGAGGGTTGAGGGCAGGACTCTGGTCCCTGATAGACCCGCCTCTGTGGGGGCGGGTGCTGTCATGATGGAGGACGGGGTTCTCACAGGTGCCTGACTGTAAACACTCGGGGTACCAGAACCCCAGAACAAGTCGGTCCAGAATGAGCTGTTCGACTTTTACAGAGAAGTTCTGGGTCCAAACCACAAAGGAGGCTCCGCCTCCATCGAAGGCTCCGCCTCCATCGGGCTCTTCCAAGAACTCCATGATTGTTTCTTTAGCTTTTCTCTCAGGAGAGGTGACGCGGTCACTCGTTCATTTCACATGGATTTAGTTTTTATTGGAGTTCGGGTGCAGATTGTTTAAAACCTTTGTGCTTTAACGAGACGACCCGCCTGAGGCCCGGCTCGGTGCGTCAGAGGACAAGGTGCTCAGACGGCAGCAGGTGTTTGTTCGCCCGACTCCTCAGAACCCGGTGAGCTGGATATGATTCAGAACTTGTGATAAAAAGGCTTCTCGTTTTGTTTGTGCATCGACACGGAGCCGACCGCTCGGTGAGTTCACGCCCAGAAGTGGGAACTCTCTGGACGGGCAGGAAGACTCACGACTGTTGTTGCAGCTCGGCAGAGACGTCCCACTTCTGTTTTGATCAAAACAAACAACAACAACAACAAAAACACACAACAAACCCTGAAACAATGTGAGGCAGTGTTCATCTGACGCTCAAATTACACAAAATATAAAAGCAAAGGCAGAAACTGAAACACGGTCCCAGTATCAAAACAAAAACGTTTTTGGCATATTTTCCATACTGGTGAAAGTGGGAGGGGCTTAATGGACGCACCACCGGTCCCTGTTCACAAAAAAACAAGGAAGTTTACATTTTTACTCTTGAAGACGCAGAAACTAAATAAGTCTGAAACTTGCGGATCCTAAAAGTTTATTTTTGTACGTTTTATCGAGCTGGTCTGCAGAGTTCTGGAACGTTCCAGCAGGAGATCCAGATTCATGGTCGATTAGGTTCTAGGTCCGGTTCAGCCATCTTTGAAAACAGTCCGGACATGAAAAGACGATCAGTGAAACTACGGTAAATTTAGGTTCTCAATCGACACCCGGGCTTAAAGTACCGGATCTCTGGAGCCGCTTTGCCATCGATGAGCCCTCCTCAGGTGCGGTGGTTTGATTCCCCACTTTGTGGGCGGGGTTGTAACGGGTCACTGTGTTCGAGCCACTCCTCTCGTTGTGGTTCTTAATCAGACTTGTTTTTTTAATCTGATCCCAGCGCTGCCTAAAAGTCAGGGTGTAGCCGTCTGTCAACAGGAAGTGGAGGTTCTGGTGTAGTTCTGCTGGGCGGGTCGTCCATTGACGGAGCTCTGCTGTTACATCAGAACCGGGCCCTGAAACCAGTCCAGTTGGAACCACGAACAAGGTGGTCCCATAAACCAGGCTGAGTGGGTTGGTACTGACAGTGGGCGGGCCTTAACGGTGTGGGGCGGAGCCCACAGTCCGGCATTAAAACCCTCCAGTTTGTTTGTTTTGTCCGACGGATCATTTGTTTTTAAATAATTTCTTTAAAGGAGAAATTATTTAATCATTTCTTTGTCTATCCTTCGATCGTATTGATTAGTTTTCCTGCTGATCTTTGATCAGCAGTAACATGAAATAATAATTAACCTCACAGGTCGTAGTATTTGGACGTTAAAACCTTTAAAGGAATGCTGGAGTTTATTTCCCTGCCAGTCAAAGGGGAGGGGCTTTTCCTTCAAAAGAAGGTGGAGCTTCGCTCAGAAGTAGCTGCGCAGCGTTAGCTTTCAGCTAATAGTTGATATGTCAATGATTAAAGATGGCGGTGGCGTTCTGCGTCTCGTGGCAACGTAAACTTCCCGTTTCGAGCTGTGAACGGGGCGTGGCTTGTTTCAGAAGTGATTGAAACGATGACACGTATGTACAGTGACCCCCTCCAATACTCAAACTCACATTTATCAACAGGCATCAGCATGAAAATACTAAACTCTCCACTAGAAAGCTAATTTCTGTAGTTTCATCTTAAATACTTTGATTTTAACTCTATTAATACTGAAAAACGTAATTCTCTGGTTTTGTCTGAAGGCTCGTTTTCGTACAGAAGCTCGTTTGTTTGGCAGAAACTTTGTTCTCGGGTTGGAAACGGTCGCTCCTGTGACTTCCTGTTTCCACGGAAACGCTGGGCTCTATCGTGGTCATAAATACATTAAGGCGAAGAATAAATAGAAAATAACTCAAATAAAAAATCTCGTAAGCACTGCAGGTGTTGGGTTTCAGAAACTCTTCAGATGTGACTCGGGAGGAACTCAGTTCTTGGCGTCGTCCTGGACGAGGTGCGCGGCCGGCGGCGAGGCGGCGCTGGTGGGTTTGATCCACGGCTCGGACAGCGTGGTCGTCATGGTGACCTGGATCAGCTGGTCCCGCTGGATGAGCCTGACGAGGCCTCTGAGGCGTTCCAGGGACGCCTGCGTGTCTCTCTGCTGGCCCAGGAGCCGCTCCCGCTGGTCCACGCAGACCTGCACACACACAGGAAGTCAGGGAGGCGTTCAGGCGCTGACGGAAATCTGACTTCTCGTTTCAGGAGGAAGACCGTGGCAATGAAGGTCTTGAGGTCTTCAAGGACCAATCAAGTACACACCGTACCGTGTACTTTTACTGTGGTCGCGTGCACACCGTACCGTGTACTTTTACTGTGTCCGCGCGCACACGTACCGTGTACTTTTACTGTGGTCGCGTGCACACCGTACCGTGTACTTTTACTGTGGCCGCGCGCACACCGTACCGTGTACTTTTACTGTGGTCGCATGCACACCGTACTGTGTACTTTTACTGTGGCCGCGCGCACACTGTACCGTGTACTTTTACTGTGGTCGCATGCACACCGTACCGTGTACTTTTACTGTGGTCGCATGCACACCGTACCGTGTACTTTTACTGTGGTCGCATGCACACCGTACCGTGTACTTTTACTGTGGCTGTGCGCACACCATACCGTGTACTTTTACTGTGATCATGCACACACACGTGCATGTGAACTATTATACAGAATATCCCTTTAAACTGAGTCTGTCCTCAGAGCTATCTGCAACAGGTAAGACATTCACAGTTAGACGAGTCCACTTCAGGAACAAAACTCAAATCTGATCAGAACCACAGGAGGAGAAAAGGTCCAGGAGTCACGAGGACCCTCCCTGGTTCTGTTTACTGACCCGTCCCTCTGACCTTTGACCCGGTGTGTTACCTTGAGCGTCGTGTTGAGCTTCTGGTCCTCCTCCTCCAGGTGAGAGCACTCGTTCTTCAGTTCTGTGTTCCGCCTCAGCAGCCGCCGCTTCTCTTCCTGCCTGACTGCTCACACACACACACACAGTCAGTAAATACACACACACAGTCAGTCAGTAAATACACACACACAGTCAGTAAATACACACACACACACACACAGTCAGTAAATACACAGACACAGTCAGTCAGTAAATACACAGACACAGTCAGTCAGTAAATACACACACACAGTCAGTAAATACACACACACACACAGTCAGTAAATACACAGACACAGTCAGTCAGTAAATACACACACACAGTCAGTAAATACACACACACACACAGTCAGTAAATACACAGACACAGTCAGTCAGTAAATACACACACACAGTCAGTAAATACACAGACACAGTCAGTAAATACACACACACAGTCAGTCAGTAAATACACACACAGTCAGTCAGTAAATACACAGACACAGTCAGTAAATACACAGACACAGTCAGTCAGTAAATACACACACACAGTCAGTCAGTAAATACACACACACAGTCAGTAAATACACAGACACAGTCAGTCAGTAAATACACACACACAGTCAGTAAATACACACACACACACACAGTCAGTAAATACACACACAGGTACACAACAGGAAGTGGCGTCACCTGTCTTGTGTGTAACGTAGGACTCGACGAAGTTCTGAGGCCACGACAGGTTCTCTTTGTTCAGAACCTGAAACACAAACAGCCGTCAGCTTCACGGTTCTGTCGGACCCACAGCGAGCTGAACCGGGACACACACCTTCTTCTGGCACTTGGAGCAGTACCAGGGCCCTCGGGGGGGGCTTCTGAGTGGCGGGTGGAGGCAGGCGGGGTGGACGGCGCGGGGGCAGTTGTGGCAGAGCTGCAGCTCTCCGTCCTCCTTACAGACGGCGCAGCGGTCCTCGTGCTCCAGCTCATCCTGAAACGACACGCAGAACCGTGATCCCCACGTCCCACACTCACACACAGGAAGTGACATCAGCAGCCAGGTGACCTACCTTCCAGCAGAAATCCTCAGAGTCTGACATGTGGACGAAGCAGAGCAGAGGTTAGTGCAGGTTAGTGCGAGGCGTTCAGGGAGCGTCGGGAAACGTCGCTATCTGAGACGCACTCGTTTGGCCCAGGGTTTCTGCGCGCTCTTAAATCTGTCAAAACTACAACTCCCATCATGCAGCAGTGCTGTCAGAAAGACTTTATTCAGATTGGATTTTAAATAAGAGGAACTCTTGATTAACGGAGTGAGACGTGCAGAAACTCTGAACGATGAAACTACAGCTGGTTAAATGTTATTAAAGCAGACCGGGCCGGTTCTGGTTCTGTGGGAGTCATTGAACGTCTGCCTGTGAACACAGCTCTTGGTTCTGACCCGCTATGAGAAATTAAAATTTATTTAAAAACTTTATTCATGTTGAAGTTTTGTTTTTAAACTTGCTGCTCAATGTTTTGATTGGTTGTTGGTCTTGATAAGCCCCGCCCCCTGATGGAAGGCTGTCCCAGTATAGTTCTGAAGGTTCTGGTCTCTAAAACTCTCATGAGACACCAGAGCCAGAACCTGCTCCACCTCCGGGCTGGACCAGAACAAAGACCCGATGATCAGAACCAGGAGGTTGAAAACCCAGTTTGAAGTGACCGACCCGCAGAGCTGAAACGGGTCAGAACATGCTGCTTCATAGAGCGAGGGGAGTTCTGGACCCGTCAGGGGAGACGCTGCAGGCGCTTACCTCGAGCCGACAGGAAGAGCGAGCTGTTCAGGTAATGTGACGGCAGGCGTTTCCTCTGCACACAGACAGGAAGTGACATCACAGACAGGAAGTGACAGCACAGCTGACCTTTAGGAACAAGAGTCGTCGGTGTGCTGACCTCGGGTTCGAACAGGCCGCTGTAGGCCGGGTTGGCTGTGCTTCTCCTCTTCCTCTCCTGCCTCTTCGTCTGGATCTCTGATCGTGACAGAACCAGTTTCAGTGTTTATGATTTTACTAATTCTGATTTTTCAACATGAACCTGAACTCACCCTCCAGCTGCTCGGCGGTGACGAGGCCGAGGGCCACCATGAAGGCCACTTTCTGGAAGGAAACCATGAAGAGGAGGCTGAGAAAGGGCTGCGAGAGGAGCAGAGAGCATGATGGGTAATTTGAGAGCTCACCTCGGGGTCCTCCTCCTTCTTGTGAGGAGCAGATTTCGGGGTAGGCGGGGCCTCCTGTGATGGGGGGTCAGCCTGGGCCCCGGGGGACCCGTCAGTACAGCTGGGGGCCTGCGGCTGGATGATTATCACCTGTTGAAGAACGTGTTGTGTGACGGTCAGGCTGACGCCTGCAGACACGACTCAGGGCAGAGTTTCTGTTTTTCACTCAACATTTGTAACAAATTATTAAAGTCAAGCGTCTCGTTTTGTTCACTTCCTGTTTTCGTACCTTAACCGCCTCTCCGACGGCGGACACCCCGTGCCCGGTGGCGGGGGAGGTGGCGATGATGGCGTACGCAACGCCGGGTCCTGCAGACGCGTGCTGGGCCAGCGCCCCCGACGGAGCGTCTTTCTGTCCATTGGGCTGGTGGTGGTTGACGGTGGGCAGGGCGGGGGGGCCCTGGACCCTGGAACTGAGGACGGCGGTGGCTCTCTGCAGGCTGAGGGGCTGCAGGTCCTGGCAGGGACGGTGGGGGAGGCTGTCGGGGATCTGGGTCTTTGGCCTGACCTGCAGGAGGATCAACAGAACGTTTGGTCCCGAAGCTGCTTTGAAAGTTAACGAGGAGCTTGAACAGGAAGTGGAGCTGCTAAAATCATGACCCTTCAAAATAAACTATCGGCCCGTTTTTCCTCACAGTGACTTAAAAACAATTAATGATCAATAACTGCAGATAAAATAATGTTTTATGATCATAAAACACTAAACTAGAGGTTGAGCTGGAGCGCGCTGCCACCTGCTGGACTCACCGGAGTCTGAGGGTCAGTGAACGCACCATGACGTAAACACAAAGTGTTTTGTTTCTGTTTGTAAAGCTGCTGTTGATGTCAGCAGACAACAACAACAACAACAACATGTCTCAGTTCTGAGTTCTCTTTTTTTTTTTTTACCAGAACAGAAGCTTCTGAGTAAAAACTTTTTCCTCCAGTTTCCTGCCAGAGACCAAAAATGCACGTTAGGCTGATATTTAACTAAATCGTCTCTGTGATGGACTGGAGACCTGTCCCGGTGTCCACAGCCCCTCCCACAGCGACCAGTGACCCAAAGAGGAAGAAGCGGGTCAAGATGCTGGTTCAGTTTTATGCCTCTCTGGACCGGGGGCCTGTTTATACCCAGGGGGTTCCAGAAAGCAGGTTAGTTAGTTAATCCTGAGTTTGTAGCTGACTCCGCCCACCTGAAACAGCATCAGGTCAGTTTGAGCCAATCAGGACAGGATTTGCTCTTTTTGAAAAGCTTTTCATCAAAGTCAGAAAAAAATAGTTTAGGGATGAACTCAAGAGTTTGTTGAGCCTCTTTCCTGGAAGTCTCCCCCCCCCCCCCCCATTAAAAATTCACCGGCGCCTTTCTGATGGGGGGTGGGACTAACCTAGACTCCAGGTGGTCTTACCTGAGGTAGCACAGTGGTTGCTGGTCCTGCCAGCCGGTGCAGAGAGCTGACCTGAGGCACCTTGATGGGACAAGCGTGGAGAGTTCCCAGCATCTGAAACACACCCGTTATTAACCAGTTATTAACCAGTTATAAACTGTTATATAAACAATTTAAACCAGATATAAACCCAGTTAGGCCCAGCAGGGACCAGGTAAAGTGAGTCCAAGCAGAATGGATCTGAAACTAGTTTCTAAACCAGTTTCTGGGTCAGAGTCTGGACCCTGAACTGGTTCAAGCCCGAGTCTGTGCTGCAGCTCAGAATCAGAACCCAGATTAGAACAGGAGGTGAAAGTTTCCACCTCTCTTTGGCTTTTGTTGTTTCTGCTGCAAAGCGGCTCAGCGAGGACGGGGGGGGAGGAGGCTGGTTGCCATGGAAACTGCAGGGATGAAGATTCTTGCAGTAGAAGGCCTTTCATGTTGGTAATTGCTGCCTCTTCTCTTCAGCCCCAACTCCTTCTCTTCAGGGGTCTCCGTCCTCCGGTCGGTGATTTCTGCTTTTTAATTTCTGGGTTTGGTTTTAAGGAGACGAGCTCCGCAGCAGATGGACCGTCTCACACACCTGCTGCCGTGGCTGAAGGTGCGTGTCTCACACACC